CAACCCTCATTGTATACTCCTACGATAAAAATAATGCCCTAAAATATAATACTTTTAGACTATTCTCTCCCCCATAGACTTCAATGCCGTAAACATATCCTTTTATAATATGTATCTGTGCCTGTTGAATTCCACGCTGTTGGCCTGACTCTATCGAAAAATGACTCTTTACAAGCAAAGACAAAATCATTAGAGCAAATATCTAAGACAAACAAGCCCAGAAAATGTCCCGCTGTGATGAAAACCTAGTGAACTGAGAGGACAGACCACGTTTCCGGGCTGCACGTGTGTCATTAAAGGATAAAGGAGCGTCTTACGGCTGGAGATGCAGTAGGAGAGTCTACAATTGATCTTCCTGAAGAGCTGCTTGTTGATGGGCCAGAGGACAAGTGTGCAGAGCTGGATTGCATTGATGATTAGGCCCGAGACAATAAATACGTAACAGAAGATGAGGTGGCAGAGGAACTGAGACTTGAGCAGGCCAATGAGGTCCATGGTGTGGGGCTGCCTTCGTCGAAAAAGAAATCAAGAATCACCACAGAATATGTTCACAGAGGAAGCCCACCCAGGGCACAGGGCAGCGTCTGAAACACAAACAGATGTCTAGTGTTAGGGAAAAAATAGCATGTGCTTCTGTCATCAGAAAGGAAAAACTAAAGATATTCATGGAAAAAAAATCCATTTGAAACTCATTAAACATGAATTCATTATCTACCAAACACTTACATGCTGCTGTTGTTGTTGTCAGGTGTCATGGAGTCAAGTCCAACCCACAGCGACCCTGTGAACAACAGATCTGAACCTGTCCTGTCCTGTGCCGTTCTCATCATCTCCGACACACGAGAGCCCATTGCTGCCGTCACGGTGTCACTCCCCCTGGTTGAGGCCCTTCCTCCCCTTTCCCGTCCCTCTACCTTCCCAAGCATGATACTCTTCTCCAAAGAATGATCTCTCCATTTATATAGTGTTTCTTGTTGTTGACTGCCATCAAGTCGAGTACAACTCATAGCAACTCTGTGAACAAAAGACCTAATGCCTTTCCATGACTACCATCATTTCTCCAAGTTCACAGAGTTTCCAGAGGCATGCGGTTTAGGAAGTGGATGCCACTCCTGCTTCCAAATCAGTCTTACAACTGGGAGCTCCACCAAACACTGTCCACATTGGGAAATCTTTCTGGTATTTGATACCCCCATGGCACAAGGTTCAGCATCAGAGCAAACCCAGGTTACTTCATACAGCACATTGACAAAGAGTGATGTACAAAGTGGAAGAGTGTTCCTCCAGATACAACAGCACTAGTTTCATTTAGCATGGTTAAGTGTCATCGAGTCGAATATGACTCAGAGTAAGCTTTGCAGGTCTTTTACCTGAACTCTGTCCTATAACTAACATCATTTCTGTACATTTATAGAGTTTAGAGAGTTTGTAGAGTTTAGGGAGCTTGTAGAGTTTCCAGAGGCATCTAGTTTGGGAAGTGGATGCCACTTCTGCTTCCCAGCATAAATCAATCTGGAAGCTCATCCAAACACTGTACATAATGGTAACTATTATGGTATTTGACAAGACTATGGAACAGTGTGCAGCATCACAGCAACAAAAAGATTACTGTGCCATTCAAGGAATATTCATTCGAAAATTAATTTTAAAGCCACACCTTCGAGCATACCTCTACCCTAGGCAGAGGCTCAAGGACACCCACTCTTGGGCAGAAAAGAGCAGTAATACACATCAAACACGACCCCCAAAAGTTCCCTTACGTGACCAACAGGACGGCCATCGAGATGCTAGCTAGCAGCCAAACACCAGAGTGGAGGCTCCAGGCCAGGAGTTTTTATCTAGTGTTTACTGTAGCCCATCACGTCGGAACTGACTCAGCAAACTGCGTGGAGCTGACCATCTTTCTCCCGGAGAGCTTCTGCTGGATTTGAACCTCGTACTTTTGGGTTGCAAGTCCTCACCACCAGTCCACCAGAGTTCCCAATCACTTACACAGTGTGTACTTACTACATACTCCAACTCTCTCTCTCTCACACACACACACACACACACTCACAAGGTCACACACACATTCTCTCTCTCACACACACACACATACAAATACTCACAAGGTCAAACACCCAGGCTCATGCTTGCACACACACACACACACACTCTCACACACACGTACAGCACACACACATGACTAACAAGGTCACACACCCAGGTTCATGCTTGCGCACTCGCACTCTCTCTCTCTTTCTCTCTCTCTCACACACACACACACAAGCACTCACAAGGTCACACACACATTCTCTCTCTCTCTCTCTCTCACACACACACACACACACACACACTCACAAGGTCACACACACATTCTCTCTCTCTCTCACACACACACACTCACAAGGTCACATACACTCTCTCTCACACACACACACAAACACTCACAAGGTCACACACACACATTCTCTCTCTCTCTCTCACACACACACACACACACACACAAGCACTCACAAGGTCAAACACCCAGGCTCATGCTTGCACACACACACACACACACACACACACACACACTCTTTAACTCACACTTACCCAGGCTCATGCTTGCACACTCACACTCTCACACACACAACCTTACACACAAGCTCACACTCACAGATGCACTCTCACACACTCCTAAATGATAGAAACACCGAAAAAGCATTAACAACCACACCCACCAGCCAGCATGGAAGAATGACATGATGCCACAGTTTGGCAGCCATGTCTTAGAGGAAATGGCAAAGGCAGGAGGTTGTAATACACCGACGAGCAAGGAAACTCTGGGAAATGACTCACGGCAGACTCATTTCCCCTGGAAGTGGAGAATCCCTGCAAAGCACTCCAGGAAAAACGTAAACGTCAGGAGGAAGGAGAGACCCTAATGCCAAACATGACTCATCTGTGTAATTACCTCAAATGTATCATCTCCTCCGAAGCCTCACACAAACTGCATGAGAGGAGTATTACTATTATCCCATTTTGCAGGAAACTGAGATGATCCCAGACTGGTGACTTGTCTAAAACCTTCCTACAGGACTATCAGCCATACGACTGCCTTCACCTCATTTGCGGGGTTCTGTGGCCCCGGGAGGGCTCTCCTGAGCTCTAAACTCCTGTGGAGATGACAGGGAAGACAGACACTGTTCTCAGGGCAAACAGGAAGTGCCTCATCACAAGCCACATTCACGGGGGACATGGGTCATGCCCCTGGGTCACCTAGGTGACTGGCATGGACAAGGAGGAGGGGACTTCAAGTCACTGCAGACACATCACCAGGAAAGACCAGTCGTGAGCCCAGGGCACCATGTTTAGCAAAGTAGGGGTCAGCAAACACAAGGGACACTCTTCACGAGATGGAGTGACAGTCGTCACAGTGGAATATAGTCCAGAAGCGATCAGGCAGATGGCACACAAGTGGACAGTGACACGTGCTGTCCACAATGCAACCACAAGTCACGGTGTGAGTCACAACCCCAGGACAGTGAACACCAGCAGCTTAGGAAAGGGCGGTCCCAGGTGTGGCCACACTGCTCCGACCACCTGAAGGGTGAAGTGGCTTCCTGTCCCAATCGATTTCTACTAGGAGGGGATGGGGGTGACGTGGGGCCTGAGCTCCCTGCAGGTACCTCGGCGTCTCTGTGACAGTCCATCCTCTGCATGCCATCTGCTTTACTGCATTCTCTCAACGCCACGCTCTGACCCATCCACCCTACGCCATCCCCCCGACCCCACCCTCTCAACGCCATCTTCCTAACCCCATACTCTAAGCCGATCTTCCCTAACCCATCCTCTCAACCCACCCCCTGACTCATCCTCCCTACGCCATCCCCCCGACCCCATCCTCTCAACCCCATCTTCCTGACCCATCCTCTCTAGACCCAGCTCCAGAACCACAGGGTTTGAGGAGACCCATCTTTAAGGACAGAAGCCCTGACAGACTGCACTCCCCATGGACAACTCCAGTCATGGAACCCTGTCTTCTTAGAATGTTCGTCAGACTCAAAGATGGTGAGACTCCATCTCACATGTTATTAAGGAGGACTATTCTCTGGAGAAGTTTATTGTTGTTGTTGTTAGGTGCTGTCAACCTGAATACAACCCACAGCAACCCTGTGAACAACAGAATTGAACCCTGTCCTGCCCCGTGCCGTCCTCATCATCTGACCCATCTGAACCCACTGCTGCAGTCACTGTGTCAATCCATTTCATTGAGGCTGTTCCTCTCTGCTTCGCTGCCCCTCCACCTTCCCAAGCATGACGTCCTCTCCAAGGAATAATCTCTCCTAATAACATGCCCAAGGGATGTGAGATGAAACTTCAACATCTTTGCCTCCAAGGATCGCTCTGGTTGCACTTTCTAAGATGTATCTGTTTGCTCTTTTAGCAGTCTGTGGGATATTCAGTATTCTTCTCCACCACCACGGCTCAAAAGTATTGATTCTTGTTCTGTCATAGGTAAAAAAGCGGAAGTGTCTCAGTGAGCTGCACTGACATCGTGGCTGTGACAGGAGGCTCAGGAGTGAGAATGGTGCAGGACCAGCAAAGCATTCGTTCCACAGTAGGGAAGTTAGACTTGAACGTGGCACCACCACCAGGCCCTTTCCTCAGCACCAGTGCACTGGCTTCTCTCTCGGGAGCAGGTTGTGAGATGGCAACTCCTCCAGCAATACACTTGACTTTCAGGAACAGCCTGAATAAAGCAGACAAAGTGGTTGTCTTGATTGGCTGTTGAATATTCAGGCTGTTTAATCATTGTGCCTTGATTAGCCATGAACAGTGGCAGGAACACGAGCCGAACAAAAGCTGTGAAGTCTGCATAAGGCACAGGAGTCCAGCGTCTCTAAAGCATGTTGACAAACCCTTCGCTCTGTAAATTTAACAGTAAGTAAAATAAGCAAAGAAGGAAACAGACTCCCATTTGACATGCAGGAGCTTAAATGCAGTTTCCTGGGGCCCTGGATTGATCACTGAAGGCATTACGAAGACAAATTAAGATTTTTATTTTCCATAAAAACCCCAAGGAACCCCATACTCTCAGTAAAAGTCTTGCTAGTACTGTGAACATCAGGGGTAATGATGTGGATGATGTTTAAGGAGGTTGCAGAGAGACAAACCTTAAGGGGAATCAGACAGATTAGCCTGTGGTTCTGAGCAACTCTGGTGGTGTAGGGCTTAGCACGATGGACTGCTAACATGAAGGTCCCCACCAGCCGGGAGGGAAGATGGGCAGTCTCCTCCCTTAAGACTTACAGCCTAACTGACATCCAAGCAGATATACGCACACCCACGTTTATCGTGCCTTTGTCCACAATAGCAAGGAGTTAGAAATAACCCTAAGTGCCCATCAACAAATCAATGGATAGGGAAGTTGTGGTATATTCACACAATGGAATACTATGCTACATTGAAAAACAAGGAACTCATGCAATATTATTCAAAACGGGTTACCCTGGAGGACATTATGCTGAGTG